TGTCCCCAGCTCTGCAGTGACAGGGGTGTGATGGTGCCACACCAGGGTGGCAGAAATCCCCTCCAGAAGAACAGGAAATTGGGCAGCGAGAGGGAGGCTTGGGGACGGGGAGCCTTTGGGGACACGGAGCCCTTGGGGATGGGAATTCTCGGGGATGGACTCCTTGTCTCGCCCCAAAAGGGACATTTGGGGGAGCTAAAAGCCCCAAACCCCTTTCAGACCCCATCAGCCGGGCCACAGCCTGCCCTGTCCCTCCTGTCCCGCTGCTGTCCCCACCGCCCCACCGCAGTCCCGGTCCCTTCCCACGGGAGCTGCCGGAGCCGGGAGCCCTCGGCCCCGTTCCAGCCCCGATACAATCTGTGCTCTGTGCCCTGCCCCCGGCTCCTTCCTGTTTTTCACGGCAGAACCGTCAGCCTTTCACATTTTCACTTCTCTTTTCTCCTCCGCGGGGTTTCCAGGTGAACTCGGCGCCAGCAGAACCCAAACCTCGGCTGGCAAAGAGCTCCCGGCACCCGCAGATCCCCATGGCTGCACCGGGACCTGGGAATGCTCTGTCCCCTGGGTGGCAAAGAGGGACACGGGTGAGGACCAGGGACAGGGAAATCTGGAATCACAGCGTCACTGAGGCTGGAAAAGCCACCACTGCCCCATGTCCCCAAGTGCCACATCCACCTTTGAAATCCCCTCAGGGATGGGGATTCCACCCTGACATGGGCAGCTGGGCCAATGCCTGACCACCCTTCCCACGGGGAAATTTTCCCAAAATTCCTGAACTCCTGAACCTGAACCTGCCCTGGTGTAACCTGAGGCCATCTCGTCCTGTCCCTTGTCCCTTGTCCTGCCCCTTGTCCGTTGTTCTGACCCTGTCACTCATCCCTGAGCAGGTGGGAACATCCCCGCTCATCCCTGACTCCCACGGACTGAGGAAAAAGGACACAAAAATCCAGCTGCACCCCCGGGAGAGCAGCAGGGCTGGTTTCTGATTTCATTTCTTCTCATCGCAGTTGCTGTGAGCAGCGCTGACCTCGGGGTCGGGAGTTTCCTGGCAGCGGCAGGRGCTCGGCGGGACCCGGGAAGGGCCGGATCTGCTCCCGCTGCTCATCCCTGGATTGGTGCCCGGGGTGGGCTCGCTGCTGCTGGAAATCCCCCTGAAACCCCAGCTCCGTGGCCTCAGTGGGAAAATATGTCCTTGGGGACAAAGCCAGCTGTCCCTCAGRGGCCGGGGGTGACATCCGCCATCAGCGCTGGCACAGGGAGGGGACAGATTCGCGTGTCGCGGGGCGCTGCAGACCCGAGCTGGGGTCCCTCACATTCACCCGCACCCCAAGATCTGCGGGGGAGCCCCGGGCAGGGGGAGCAGCACCCGCCTGCTCCATTCCGGGCAAGGGACCCCCAAATCCCCGCTCCCGAGGCCGGAGGGACCCGCGCAAACCCCGCGGGAGCTCTGCGGGTGAAAGGAACGGAGCCAGCGAATCTCCAGGCCCCGAACTGGCATTTCCACCCTAAAAAGGGAGCGCAAACACAACGGTCCGGGTTGGTTTTGAAGCGCAGCGGCCGCTGGAGCGTTTTCCCCGCTGCTGCTGCGGATGGGAGTGGAGAAAAGCGGCTCTGCCCGGCTCCGGGGCTGCGCTGCTGCTGCTGCTGCCATCGCGGAGAGCAGAACTGGGTCATGGAAGGGACAGGGATGAAGGGAGAGCGGCTGGAGGGGAGGGGGAGAGGGCAGAGGGGAGGGGACACGGGCAGGGCACCCATCCCGGCCCCCCTGCCCTGACCCTGCGTGGGTGTTCCACCCGCAGCCCCAGCGCTGCTGCTCTGTTCTGCTTTGGTACTTTCTCCCCCGAAGTGCCGATGCTTTTCCAGCCCAATAACCAACTCCGATCCCATCCCTGCATCCCCTGGAACCGCGGGCGGGATGCGGCAGCCAGAGAACAGCGATGAGTTGGGGTGAAAGGGGAACGGTTTGAAATGAAAAGAGAGATTTAAATGGGATATTGGGCAGGAATTGTTCCCTGTGAGGGTGGGCAGGCCCTGACACAGCTGTGGCTGCCCCTGGATCYCTGGCAGTGCCCAAGGCCAGGCTGGAGCACCCTGGGACAGTGGGAGGTGTCCCTGCCATGGCAGGGGTGGCACTGGGTGGGATTTGAGGTCCTTCCAATACAAACCAGTCTGGGATTCTGTGAATCCACTGGGAATTGGATTCACTACGGGCCCTTCCAAGGAGTTTCCAGCAGGGAATTTTCTCCAAGTTGTTTCAGAGGTTCAGACCCGGCCAGGTGTTGGGGTAATCCCAAAATTCAGCTGGAACAGGAGGGCTGTGCAGGAAGGAGGGCCGGTGGTGGCTGCTCCCGTGGAGCGCGGGGTGGAAAGGCAGGAGCGGGACGAGATCCACGCTCGGCTTTCCCGGAGCTTCCCTTTGGAGCCGCCGAATCCAGGGAAAGCAGCGGAGCCCCACGCTGGGGACACTGCCGGTGTCACCCACAGCGAGGGCGGCGCGGCGGCCCCGCTCCCGCCCTGGCACAGGATGTTTTTGACGGCARAGTCGCTTGTTTTGGGTCAGGCCGGGACACGAAAGCTCCGCTGGCCG